TTGAAAGTTCAAAAAAAAAATCGAAAAAATATAAGAAAAACAGATTTATATTATACTATCTCTCTCTCTCTCTCTCTCTCTCTCTCTCTCTCTCTCTCTCCCGTATTTTTGATGACTTTTTTGTTTGTTTGTTTCAAAGATTTAGGTTTTACACTAAATAGTAATAGTATTGCCAGAAAAATAAAACTAAAACATCAAAAAATAACATTTCAAACACACATACAATCACACACACACACACATTGTGTCCATTATTTTAGATTTATCATAGATTTGTCTTTTGATTTAAACAACTTTTTTTTATWTTTTTTTTATATTTTCGGATAATTTTTCATGAATTAGACAAAACAATTTTTGAAATAAGTTATATATATATATATATATAACATTAGTATTAMACTACAGTAGATRTGTGTTTGAATTTTTATAAACTATTTTTTTATTTTTTAAAAAATAACAACAAATAAGTAGCCGACTCATAGATAAGCCASTATTTGATGGACAGTCKACTCAAGGATTATATATATATATATATATATACACAGTATATATGATATATGAGTATATACATAATTTATACAGTAGGCACTGGTATGTTCATGAAAATTTAAAAATAGATGTAAAAAAATYGTARATTTATTTCAATGGTCTTCCCGGGAGGAAAATGATGGTTCGCTTCACRAGACGAGACCAGAGAGAGAGAGAGAGAGAGAGAGAGAGAGAGAGAGAGAGAGAGAGAAATTCAAGAATATTCTGTTGAAAGTTAATGTAAAATATGTTTAAAAAATAGTTTTCTCTTTCGGATACATCAGTCTCTCTCTCTCTCTCTCTCTCTCTCTCTCTCTCTCTCTCTCTACTCACTCACTCACTCACTCACTATGTTTCACATTACATATGCCTTGTATTCAACAACAAAAAAAACCTGAAAAAAAATTTGAATGATTTATAACGCTTTCAATTTCTATTTACATATTTTTCACTTTCTATACTATACTATAGTATATATATATATATATATATATAAAGAATTTCCATTTAAAAAAATGCAGAGAATTTAACATAAAATTTAAGGTCTAAATTGAAATTTATTTTTTTCTTTATTGTATGATAAAAATGTTTGTATTTAAAAATCTAATATATATATATAYAGYATWTACTGATATAAACTACTATTATATAATATATCCTGCAATCAAACCCGAAACTGTAAAATTCAGTTTAATATACAATATATTTCTACTGTATATATATATATATATATATATATATATATATATAGTTATATATATCTAAATATATCTAACATTTTATAAATCGTTACCAAAGAGACGACTATTAAATTTATTGTATGTTTTTCAGTGGTGACGGCATTTACAACAATAACAGATAAAATAAAATAAATACAGGAATTCATGATTTTTTTTCGYAACAATTTATTTATTGCTGAAACTTTCTCTCTCTCTCTCTCTCTCTCTCTCTCTCTCTCTCTCTCTCTCTCTCTCTCTCTCTCTCTCTCTCTCTCTCTSTCTSTCTGTCGATGTTATCATTATTTCAAATACTGGTAGTAGTACTSTATATAATACAAATCATTTTAAATACACTGACAGTCAATCAATTTTGTATTTATATATTTTTTTGTATTTTATTTTTTTTTTTTTGCACATACATTGGATATATCAGCAACAAATTTTTGACATTTATAAAAAAAAMTGCTGAAATGTTTTTTGATTGATAGATAGGACTTATATAAAATAAAATTTATTTATATTTATAAATWTATATATATATATATWTATACACTATTATAAATAAATTATTTTATTATTATTATTGTATAAAAAATATTAAATATTTAAAAAAATTTATTAGCATAACAAAAATTATCAATTATTATAAATTTTATATAAATTAGCTCAATATATAAAGTTACTATATAATTAACTATATTTKTTATTRAAAACTATTTTATTATTATWATAAAAATATATATAATCATTGAAATTAACAAAAAATAAAATTCATTAWACCTTTATATTTGTCTAGAAAATCAATGATTACTTATATAAGGTATATATATATATATATATATAAAGTTACAAAGTTATGGTTTATATAATAAATTATAGCAAATAATAAAAAACATTTGTATTATAAGTTAAATATATATATATTTATATATAATTTAAGTTAAAAGAGTGCATTAGTTCACAAATGAATAGCTCTTTTAAATTACAATTTTTGTTTAGTATATATAAAATAMAATATTATATATAAAAATACTATAAAAAATTGATTTTTTTYTCTCTCTCTCTCTCTCTCTCTCTCTCTCTTTCTTTCTTTCTTTCTTTATTCAACATACAAATGATAATAAAAAATTGTTTAAATTTATTTTTTGAATAAAAAAATTTATAGATATCCATTATATATATATATATATTCAATATATATATATGCAATAAATTTGATACACAAAAAAATTGTATTATCAAACTTAAATAAGCCAGAATTAATGTCAATTTTATTTTTTATTTTTTAATATTATAATATTTTATATATTCTTAGGCTAATATATTTAWWATTAATAATATTGAATGATATTAGCAAATATAAATTACTTAATTTTTTTCATAGTATTATTAATAAGCAGTATTATAAATATAAGAAAAATGTATGAAATATTTACATTTAAATATATATATATATATATATATATATATATTACAGTATTATAAATATAAGAAAAATGTATGAAATATTTTCTAAATATAATGAAATATTTAATTTAAAAAACAATTTAATAATAATAATAMTTAAATAATATAATGYATTTATRKCGTTATAAATAGATAATTATAATAGTATGAAATAATAATTAAAAACTATTAATCTATATATAAATATATATATATATATATATATAATACTKRAATTGTTGTTTTAGATATTAACAACTTTWGGTATTAAACTGCTATTTAAATAATTAAAATGATGCTAACGATTAAATAGATTAAAAACAACTAAATCTATAATAATAATAATAATAATACAATGCTTATATATATATATATAAAATTGCTATTTACTTATTAATACTAATAATACTTACATTGTTTTGTTTTTTAGTATATATAKTATATATATATAACATTTTTGTCTAATGACTTAAACATGTAATTTATTTGCGATAACAAATGAGATGACATCATCTCTCTCTCTCTCTCTCTCTCTCTCTCTCTCTCTCTCTCTATATATATATATATATATATATATATATATATATATATAAAAAATATATAAAAAATATATATTTAATTTTTTCYGGTTTGTTTTTGTTATTGATTTTGTAATAATTGTGTCGATATAGTAGTAGTAGTAGTCTTAACATACATACAACACACACAACAAATTATAATCAATTTCCAAAAAAAATAAATAAAATTGTTGTGAATTCATAATTTTCCGGTCAGTTCTACCATTACTTTAGGGCCTCTCTCTCTCTCTCTCTCTCTCTCTCTCTCTCTCTCTCTCTCTCTCTCTCTCTCTCTCTTGTACTGGRAATGAGAGAGAGAGAGAGAGAGAGAGAGAAAGAAAGAGAGCAAGAGATAGCTTATGTATCTTTTTAATGGTCTAATGTCAGTATAATAATATTTTCGCTCATTTAGCTTATCATTTCACTGGACACACACACACACACACACAGATACAGTACATACATATATAAACACACATAAACTCAATACATGTATATATATAGCAATAATGATAAAAATACTAATATTTTATATATCAATATATACTGTATATATATATATGATATGTTGGTGGACATCTAAGTTGATGACATAACTGTGCCAATAGTTATATATATATATATATTGAAAGATCATAATTAGGATTATACAGTAAAGCTATAACATTTGYTATATACACACACAAACATAACTAAATATAATATTACAGATATACTATATATATATATATAAAGTACAATACAGAATATTAATGTATAATTTTAGTTTTAAAAAAAATAAAAACAAAAATTACTAATTAACACGAAWAATAMTAGAGATTAAAATTTAAAAACTAAAAAGTAAATTATTATAATTTTTGTTATTATTGTTGTTGCTGTTAATTGAATACTTGAATAAATGAATAATAATTATATATATATATATATATAAAACAGTTATCAAAATTAATATACATTTTTATGTATATATAKAAATTAATATAATAATTACAAAATCTAAATATATATACATGTATTATAATTAGCATCAAATGTTAGTAATTATCAAATGAAATATTATTGCATAACTKTATATCTCATATAAAAATGCATAATATATATATAAAAATATATATATACAGTATTCATATAAATTTATATATTTTATTTTATTTATATAMAATATATTRYTGTATAATTCATTAAAGAGCTAATGGTMTAAATGTAATTGTTTTTTAAAATTATAATATAACTGTAATAATAATAWTAAGSAAACTAATGGAAAGGTAGTGTAAAAATTAAAAATATGTTTTAGCTTTCAAATTGTTTGTGTTTTCTACAGTAATATMCCATTTTCAACAAACATTAAAACAATACATACATATAATATAATACATAYAAMCATACTGTATATATATATATAACTAATGACACATTATTTAATTTTATGGTATAAATAGTTTTTTATKATATWWGATATTTTTTMTTTAGTTTTTTTTGTTACTTTATTATTTAATAAATGAGTTTTAATGTGTTTGTTTGTGTGTGTGTGTGTGTGTGTGTAATATTGATTTAATAATAATAATAATAATAACTTAATCAGCACTTAAAACAATTTTTATAATAWATATTATATTTTTTTAGTYATATATATTTTTTTGGTATATAATTAATGCCATTACACACACACACATACTGTACATACACTGTAAATGMATTAAAATGYATAATTAAAAAGATGTACTCAAAAAATAAAATAAAAAATGTTTTTTAAGTATTTTTTGTTGTTGTTGAATAAAATATAGCAATTTTTTWAGTAATATATATATATATATYATAGTATACATACACAYARAGTATTAAGTAATTTTGAAAAATCTGTTCAAAAWTTTTTTATTTTGAAAGTAAATTTATATTATATAAGTATATCATAAATCTAATGCAATAATAAATGTTTTTAAGTAAATTAAATAGATATATATCTATWAAAAAAATTAGGRAAATTTTTTTTGATTAAAATCTTTTTTTACTAAATATACTAATATAATAATAYATTTTAATATTTATATTATATGTATTCCCTTGAAATTATTGAATTTATAGTTAGATATAAATAGATTTAATATATATATATATTAATAAAAACATCTATCATTTAAAACTACACAAAAAAATCATTGTCAAGGGAACCAATTTATTATTATTATTATTTATTATTAATAAACATACATTTAAAAAACACATTTACTAATTAATAGTAGATCATTGAGTTGAAAAAAATTAATTTAAAAAATTTGCAATTAATTTTAGATCTAATTAAATAAATAAATAAATTTGTTTTGAGATTAATTGCAAATATTATGTCCATATTATGTGCAATATAAAAAAAAAGTTATAATTAGATTTAATTATTAACTATTTTTTTGTTCAATAAAWWWWTTTTTGAATTATAAACAAACATAAAATTTTTTATATTTACTTTTTGTTTKTTTTGTTATKTTATGTTTGTTTGTTTATTTAACTTAACTAAAATTTATATATATATATATATGCAATATATATATATATAAATAAATAACTAAATAAAACGCATACATTTATATTATACTAAAACTATTCAAAAAACCTAAATGTAWTGATAAATATAAAGTCAAATATAATATGAAATCAAAAAATCAAAAATTTATTTTTTAGTTTTGTTAACAACAAACAAATAAAATAAAAAACTAAATGCAAATAACATACAAATATAATATATATATATATTTATATAAATAAATCAAATTTACCGGAATGTGTGACACATCTAATGATATTTGAGTTATATTTCATAAGATTTTTATTATTATTATTATTATTATTATCAATAGTAGACTGATTGCTGGTTAAAACCATTGAATACAAGTCAATCATATACTGTGGAGGAATATTATGTCGTCTTTTTTTGGTCAATAAACCACTTCTTTCAATAGCTAACAGTTTCAATGTATGATTMAATAGATATGATTCACTAAAATGATGTCCATTGATGTTGTCGTCGTCTTGAGATATCTTCAGGTGATCKCCAATAGGTTGTCGACTATAATAGGTTGTTGTTGTTGTCTGGTATGCATCTGAAGGACACTTATTATTATTATTATTATTATTATTATTAAGTATATTATCAATAGTTTGAAAACTTTTTGCTACCGCCGATGACGRCGAMGAYAATAATAGATGTGTTGAAATAAAAATCAATAAATAAATCATAAATTTATTCATAAATAATACAACAATTGCCGATTGAATRACAATAGTTTGCTGTTTTTTGTTGTATAAATACATTATTTTTTTTTAATTTATATATATTTTTTGTTGCACTAAACTRTTTAAATTAGTTAATAATATATATATTATATATTTTTGATATACAATARAAAAAAATTTATATATATATATTCTAATAKCAGCTAATATTTTAATAAATTTTTCAAACATTWTATATATATATTTTTTATATTCAAAAATATCTATCAAATAAAAACTTTTACTTATACTTTGTATTTGTTTTACACACACACACACACACACACACACACACACACTATGTGTTTGTGTGTATATATAATCATTTGATACACACATATACTATAGTAGTTGGATAAGACATTTGTTAATAATAATCACAACATTACAAAACATGAGATTTTTTTTATATATAAATTACAACAAAATATTTGTATTTTTTAAAAGAAATAACATATAAAAGTTGTGTTTATATATATATATATTTATATACCGGTATATATWTATATATACGTATATATACACACACTGTATATATATAACTTATTATCAATAATGTATATATAAGTTGTGTATTCAGCCGACTGTTCAATCGTTGTTATATAAGTTATACTGTATATACATATACTATATATATATATATATATATCGGGAGCTAAAAGAAAAATAACATTTAAAGTCAAAACTCGAGAGACTTACTGTCTATTGATTTTCAGGTCCAACCAATCGTGAGATACCGGAGCTCTGGGCAACTCATCGGAGACGACTCTCTCTCTCTCTCTCTCTCTCTCTCTCTCTCTCTCTCTCTCTCTTACATCTCATCTCTCCAAATGTTGTCTCAACTATAGCCGACTACTAATTACTTCATTAAAACAGTAATTTATTTTTTTTGTACTTTTTTTTGTTTCTTTTAGTTACCCGAAAAAAAAWATTGTATCAMAAAAATTTGTTTTCAGGCAAAACAAACAAAACCAAAAATAATTATYATYATTGTMTATCCTATTGAATACAACATATATTAATCTATATATATATATTAAAAATTTATATATTCAATAAATTATTTTCTAAGTTATACGTTAGTATTTTTTTTAGTTGGCAATAAATTAGCATTAAGTTATATATATATATTTCTAAAGGCCTATTTGTAAATAACCATTTATTTTGTGTTAGATTTATATATATATATAWATTTGTAATATTATAATAAATTTGTGTTTTTTTTGTTTTTGTTTTATTGGTTTCACTGTACATCTGAAAATCTGATACCGCTTTAAGCGCCGAAAAAACCGATTTTAATTAAYGAAAAATAAAATATAAAWAAAATAATTTTAAAAAATAATTGGCTTTTATTTTATTTTATTTGCYAACCTATAGGCTAGWCATAGAAATRCAATTAAAAATCAATAATCAATAAAAAAAATAGTCTAWAAATTTGGTAATTTATATATACCTGTATATAATCAATCAATTTGTCTAAAATCAATAATTGWAACGTAAAATAATTTTTTTTAAAAATAATATAAATATTAATTAATTAATTAATCACTATTTAGASSATTCAATCAATTTTTTTTTATAAAAWWGATAACATTTTATTAATAATGAAAATTTTTAAATATATTATTTTAATAAAACAMAATTTAAATAATAAAACACATAATAAWAACTTTTCTCATAAATAAAWAGATAGATTAAAMAAATAATTTTCAWTTTATATGATATAATATTTTTTCAAAAWAAAATTTTTGTTATTTTTTTTTTTTGGTCACAGAATATGCCAATAGATTCTTGCATTCAATTAATTCAATGATATATTTATTATTATTTTTTWAAAAAAAATTGATAACAAATACGAGCCGTTATTTATTATCAAACAATTTATATACAGTTAGGACAACATATTTTAGGTGWAAATAATAAAATTTAATTAAAATTATTTAAATAAAAAAAACATTTTAAATCATTATTTATTATTTTTTTTTGATGCAAATTATGTATCAGTTAATAGTTATAATAATAACATSAAAAACAAATAAATGATAAATAACTAAAAACTTTTACACTTAAAAATAGGGTTTACTAGAAAACAGTGTTGACTGTACTRWACAGTGTCTCACACAAGTAAAACAACTAAAAACACGTGTTTTATAATAWATATATWCATAAAAAAAAGTTATAATAAAAACAACTAATAATAAAACAGTGATTTATTTTTCGGTTAAATAATATCTACTAATAATAATTGTGTCCACAAATGAGTCGCGGATTCGGTGGCGGTGGCCGTGGAGGAGGCGGTAATCGAGGCGGCGGTCGGGGCTTCGGCGGAGGCCGTGGCGGCGGTGGTCGCGGAGGCGGCGGTTTCCGTGGACGCGGCGGTGGCCGAGGCGGCGGCTTTGGTGGTGGCCGTGGAGGTGGCGGTTGGGATTCGGGACCGCCCGACTTTGTCAAAGAGTTTGGCCTCTATACCCATGAATGTCAAAACCAATTGGTCTGTAAGGCCACTGTCGAGGAGGTGCCGTTTTTCAATGCGCCCATCTATCTGGAAAACAAGCAACAAATCGGTAAAGTGGACGAAATTTTCGGATCGATTCGCGACTACGTAAGTGTTTGATTGAATGGCCACTCGTTTACCGATATATCTTATAACAACAACTCTTTGTTGTCTTTTAAAAACAGTCGATATCAGTGACACTATCGGAGAATATGAAGGCCCAGTCGTTTCCCATTTCGCAAAAGGTTTTCATAGATCCGGCAAAACTGTTGCCATTGCAAAGGTTTTTGCCGCAACCCGGCGGTCGTGTAGCCAAACGGGGCGGCGGCCGTGGACGCGGTGGTGGCGGCGGTCGTGGCCGTGGAGGTGGCGGTTTCGGTAGAGGTGGCGGCGGAGGATTCAGAGGCGGCGGAGGATTCAGAGGCGGTGGAGGAGGAGGAAGAGGTGGCGGTAATAGAAATAGTTTTGGTCGCGGAGGTGGAGGCGGCGGCTTTGGTGGTGGCGGAGGAGGAGGTGGTCGCGGCTTCGGTAGAGGAGGTGGCGGCGGTTTTAGACGATAATAGTGACGGATGTGTTGTGTTGTGTGTGTGTTATAATTTTGTTGACCGTTTTCTGGCCATTCATTTTATCGACAGTTTTATTATTATAATAATAATAMWAAYCATAAAACTTGAAATCATTTTATTTTTTAATTAAAAACAAATTATACATTAATTATTATTAAAAAAATGTATTATTATTACTACTATTACTRYTKTTTTTTWTATAAAGTATAGTACAGTATATTTTGTAATGAAATTATTTTTAAAAGATTTAATGAAAAATAATTTAAATTATTTATATATAAATTAATAAATATATATATAATGAAAATGAATTATTACGGAATTGTTATTATTAATAATTAATTAATTAATTAATCAAATTTAATGTGTTTATTGACTTTTTTAGTATTATTATTGTCAACATTTGTTGTCATCAATTGATTATCGGCTCTATTAATGATTTTATCGAAACCTCTAATCTTATTGTGTCTCGACTTCTTATTGTTGATGTTTTTGTTRTTATTATTATTATTATTAGTATTATAGTTGTATTTCTGCTGATAGGCCATCAATTTGCTTCTTTCGTCAAATATTTTCRYCCAATAATCCGATTCTTCAYTGCCATCTAAGACAACMGCTGCTWCACTGTTACCATCGCCGCCGCCGCCCAACTGCCGGAGCCGTTCATCGGCTACTAATCGTTGACAGACATCCTGACTAACYGTCCGGATATAGCASAGGCCTTGAATGGTTTGGCTGTCGACAAACTCYAACTGATTGGTCTGCAAATCAATGTACGATATCTCACGTTTWTCGGCCATTTGTCGTACGTTTCGTTTGAATTGATTCTCATTGAACTCTTGTGAGGCSACCTTAAAGTTCAGTTTGATTATCAATCCCTTATCATAGCTACGGTCGACGGCAACGACAATATCATTGTTGGTGTCACCAACAGTCTTGCCATCAGTTGTTTGTCGCTGTTGTTTYTCATTGTTGTTGTCCATCACTTCAAGTGATTTCTTCAATGAAGACATGGTTTGCTTCTGTAATTGTAAATATCGTTTTTTCCATGATTTCCATTCGTGTTTCGACATAACTCTCAAATTGATTACTTCGGACGACTTGTTTGTATTGTTATGGTTGTTGTGATGGTGTTGCTGGTGRTGATGATTCTGATGATTGTTATCGTTATCGTTRTTRTTATTATTATTATTATTATCTTCGACAACAAAATCTGCAGCAATCGACTTCTTTTTCTTGCGTTTCTTCTTCTTTTTCTTTGTCGTTGTCTTTAGTTTYGTATCTATTTCGCCATCACTTGTCTTCTTCATCGTCATCTCATTGTTGTTCACTATCACCATTGAATTTGATTCACTTTGTTCGCTASTAATCKGYTTTTGATTWWCGTYATCGTCACTGAGTTTAGTTCGTTTACGTTCAACYTCTTCGCCAATAGYAATGTCTTCTTCCTTATCATCGGTGGTGTTCTTCAGCGGTCTTTTGCCTCCCAATACTTTTGACGKMGTTTTCACTACTTTAYTATCGGTCTGTTGTTGTTCACTGACTTTAGTGTCTTCTTCTWCTACTWCTTCTTTSGCATCTTTATTSTCACAYTTGTTGTTGTCGTCCGTCACTTGCGGATTKGRTTCGGCAGTAAAATGTTTTAACGCCTTTTCCGCCGAYAGTTTGTCCTCAAACTCGACAAATGCAAAGCCCATAATCTGGTTGTTGTTTTTGAATCGGGGTATCTTTACGTACTGTATTTTGCCGAACGTACCGAACACCGACCACAGCCACTGCTGATCRGCCGTCGGCGGCAGTCTCTCCACATACAGTGTCTGGTCATCSGTATTGACACTGCCGGCTGTAAACGGTYGCGATCGACGTACTGWCWGGCGATTGKCGTCCAATTYSAGTCCAACRGATCTATCGAGMGCTAGGCCTATGTCGCGGRTATTTGTGGTCAACTCGGATATCCTATTGAACTTCAAAAACTCTGYCAAATCGACAGGTTTTTGGCCACAGCTKTGTTCGGGATCTTCGGCRCCAATCAGTTGGCGCATAAAACGGTCGTGTCTTAGGTTGGCGTCGCTGAAGTAGAATTCAATCTAACGGTACGGACCGGACAAACAAACAAATWAATCAATTAAATCCATCAGTGGATCAGTTAATCGGCGGTTAAATACCTGTTGTCTAATGGCTGTCAACAATCGTTTCTTACGTTTTCGTTGATGTCTTTCTTGTGGTTTATTAATCGTCGGATTATTGGATCCGTTGTCACCATCAGTGTTGGCATTGTTATTGTTGTCCTCATCCTTATTGTCGTTATCTTCARCTTTGATGGTCTGATCCATGGTTTTAGAGGAGATAATAATAATAATGGTTTTKTMGACAAATATCACAACATTTTATTTCATAAACTATTTGTAACTAAAAAAAAATAATTAATAAATAAATAAWTWATTTATTTATTKATATAATAATAACAAATACATTGCAAATACAATACAAAACATTTCAACATTAATAACGTGTATTTCAATTGACAATTGAATGAAATAAATAAAWAAAAATTTTTTTATTATTTAATTATTTATTAATTAAAATAAATTAAAAAACGTATGTATTTTATATATATAAGTAACAAGTTTTTAAAAATAATTTGTTAATTAATTTAATTTACAAATACATGTGATTTATTTTATTTTTTTATTTTTATTTCACACACACACACACATAACACATAACATAAGTTTTACATTACAAACAAACACATAATTATATAATTATATATACGGTATATAAAAAAACAATTAAAAATGGTTTTATATAAAAAAAATTGAATTAAATTAAATTACATAATGTATAGATTAAAAATTAGACAAACAATCAAACAAACATAAAAACATTGTATACAAAACAAACAAACAAATTGAATATGAATTGTTGGTAATTAATAATAAGTWTTTAGAAAAAGTGATTTTTTAAAGTAATTATATTAAAAAAAAAGTTTTTAATTTTTTTTTAATAAATCAATACTTTTTCGGATAACCATTGGATGGATAATAGGTTATTGGCTCGTCATAGATAACTGGCGGGTATTCAGATTTCGGATCGTAGGAGGCGTGAGGTGGTGGYGGTGGTGGTGGCGATTGATGAGAGGTYGGTATGTATTTCTGGGTGTAGGCGTGTTTCGGGTAATAGCTATGTGGTGGTGGTGGCGGTGCTGGCGATGGGTATGGCTTASTGTAGTGGGGCGGTGGTGGTGGTGGTGGTGAGTGTGGGTGTGATTGATAGGTATCGGGTTTGAATGGATAGCTATATGAATGTTTGGATGGCGATGAAGGGGACGGGTGTGGATGGCTATACGGTGAAGATTTCATGATAGGTTTRTACTCGTAGTACTCGTCAATGGGATACATAACCGATGGGTGCATAATATGGGCGCCGCCGCCGGGTTTCTGATATTTTTTGTATGGCTTATACTTAACATAGTCTGAATACAATGGCATTGAATGAGAGTATTTTTGTGGCGGCGGTGGTGGTGGTGGCGGTGACTGACCTCCATAGCCATAGCTGACCGGATACGATGGGTTGGCTGGTGATGATGGCGGAGAGGGTTGGCCTGAATAGCCAGTATGGCTATAGTATGGCTGTTCATCMGACTGTGTGTATGGCATCCGTTTTTTGGGCATTTTATTGTAATAGTGGGAAACGTATTCACTTTTGGGCGTTTCGTGGACCGGATAGGGATGACTGATATAATCCAATTGGGTTGAYGGCGGYGGTGGTGGCGATTCGTCATACTTGTTATAGGGAACTGTATGGCTATAATAATCAGGTGCTGACGGATCATATGATGTTTCATGTGGTGATGGCGGTGGCGGTGGTGGTGGCTGTCTGTGTTGATATGTTTCCAATGGTATCAAATCATCACTAGTTTTGCTACTGCTACTACTACTGGTGCTACTAATGGTAATTGTTTTGGTCGCACAAACCATCGATACCATGAAATATAAGAGATATATCTGAGATAATAATAACAAATTAAACAATTATTTTTTGWWTTAATTAATTAATTTTATTAATTAATTATTGATTAAAAAATGTAATAATAATATCAGTTTAAGACTATTATTATTATAATAAATCATACCATCATTTTGTTGTTCACACAATTGATTTATAATTAATTAATTTTTTAAATAAGTGTTCATTTAGTTAAATGAAAAACTTTTTTTTCAATTTCTCTGTTCATAAATGTTTTTAAAAAACTTTTTGATCAAAAAACAAAATTAAAAACTTTTATTTATTTGTTAAACACATAAACCGTTATATATATATACATACAGTATATAACTTTGAAGACAATTATTGTTTTAAACCACCAAAAAAATCAAATGAAATGATAAAATGATTGTTTAGATGATGTGATCTCTTATTTATATATCCTTTACTTAGTAGAAAAAAAACAATTACTTGGAGTCAGTCAACAAAAAACAACAAAATAAAAGGTAAGCAACTGTTTTAGTAAAAGTTTTTACTTTTAGTTTAGTTTATCCAAAATACTAGCCTAAAACCCCCTCCCCCTCTATATAACAAAAAAAAACTAAACCACTGTTACTATAATCTGCTGAAAACCACTTCAACAATGAAATTATTATTAATAATAATTATAATATATAAAAAAAATCACTTCAAGTATTATATAATACAAAGTAGTAGTACTGTAGGTATGCTTTGCGTAATAATTATTAAGACATTATTATTATTATTATTTTATTAATCGCTAACAAGTTTTTTATATTATTATTATTATTTGATGTCTATTTGATTGTCTGATTGTTTTTTTTAAATATTTAAATATTTATTTATTTATAGAGTGAAAGATATTAGAGAAAAATTTATAACTTATTTATAAGTTTTGGATTTTTTTTCGTAATAATTTAGATTTTTTTTTGTTTTGTTTAATTTAATTTAATTTTTTTTTGTAAATAAACACTTAAGCGAAAGTACAATATATTATATATACAGTAAATTATTGATAAAGAAAAAAAAGTGATTAACATTTAATATATATATATATATTTGTATTAAAATTATGCAATTTTTTTGTGGATAAATATTTTGATTTAGTAATTTTGATTTTTTATTATTGAAACAAACATAAAAAAAACATTTCGACATATGATCATTGAATATAAAATTATAATATTAATAATTTTCAAGTATTTCAATTCAAWAAAAAATMAAAAAAATTTCCAAACTWTCTATAATATRCYATATATTCATAAATTTTCATTATATATATATACATTATATAATTTTTATATGTAATTGTATTAAATATTTTAAAATTTATTCAAAACATTAAAATATAAATACAACAAAAAAATAACTAAACAATAATGAGATGATCCAAATGCTTACAAAATTAGTTACTATTTTATTATTATTATTATTATAACTATACTAAATGAGAGCATAATTTTGTATTCAAATTTTTATAATAATAATAAAAAAATAGATAATAATAAAAAAAACTTTTTTATATTATATATTATTAATAAAATTTTTTTGACAAAATAGACAGACAGACAGATACAGGTGCCACTAAATACCTGTACAATACTTTCCCTTTTTTTTGCAATACCCTTAATACTGTCACACCATTACTTCCCTATCCCTATCACTACTACCCACACCACTAGCATCTGATATATCGTTGACCCACTCTGTCTGAAAACGGATGGCTATGTTTTGTGAGATTATTATAATATAATAAAGTTTGACATTTTCAGTACAATATTATTATTATTATTATCACAACAACATATTAGTATAATAAAAAAAGTAGTTATTTATATAAATTTATATATACAGTCGATGACAAAATTGATGAACGAGGTTTTTTGTGTATATCTTTAGAATGGAAATGAACTAGAACAAAAAAAAATTTTTTGCTACTATTATTTATTGGGACGGTCATTACTTTGCCACTTTTTTTGTAATTGGGCACAGGTATGCAAGGACAGGGATGGTCAATATCTCGAAAACTATAATAGATATTAAAGTTTTATAAATTGCTAATTATACTAAATCTGATAATATTGGACACGTGTTTTGGCATTTTTAATTTTATTGCAAAGTATTCGAACAAAATTGATTTTTTTGTTGCAAAAATCAAAATTTAAGAGACCATATCTTTTAAATGCATCGATATATCATGATTTAGTTAATTGATTTAAATTCTATATTTTAGTACTAACAATTCATCTATACATTAAATTTAGTTATCTTGTTTAGTTTTTTAAATATTTGTAAATTAATTTTTTTCTATTGTAATTATTTATAGATTTTGTTATCAATGTTATGTAATAGAAGACAATAATTAGTACTTAATTACAATATTAATTTACAAATATTTAAAAAACTAAACAAGCTAACTAAATTTAATGTATAGATGAATTGTTAGTACTAAAATATAGAATTTAAATCAATTAACTAAATCATGATATATCGATGCATTTAAAAGATATGGTCTCTTAAATTTTGATTTTTGCAACAAAAAAATTAATTTTGTTCGAATACTTTGCAATAAAATTAAAAATGCCAAAACACGTGTCCAATATTATCAGATTTAGTATAATTAGCAATTTATAAAACTTTAATATCTATTATAGTTTTCGAGATATTGACCATCCCTGTCCTTGCATACCTGTGCCCAATTACAAAAAAATAGTGGCAATACCAAACTACCGTCCCAATAAATAATAGTAGCAAAAAAATTTTTTTGTTCTAGTTCATTTCCATTCTAAAGATATACACAAAAAACCTCGTTCATCAATTTTGTCATCGACTGTATATATATTATTTAAGTGACAATTTTTAAAAATAAATTAATAATAATTATCGATTTTAATTGATTATATTATTAATTGAAACATAAAACATAAATCTATATTTTGATTGTTGTGATAAATATATTGCAATTAATGTATTTTAAAAACTATTATTAGGTATTAATTTGTATATTTAATATTTAAAATCTATTTTTGTATTTATGTATATACTATATATATATATGAATCAAAAAATAAAAAGATATTTTTAAAAAACAATTAATCAATCAATTTATATATTAATAGTTTAATAATGAATTTTTTTTGCCTATTGTTAACGTAAAAATAAAAAAATCATTTTTATATTATTATAATATATATTCATTGAATTATTTATATTTCAAAAATAAAATTGGATTTAAATAGATTCATAATTAGATTATAAATAATTTTTTTAATTTTTTTATGAATACAAATAGTAAAAAATAGATTTGCATAAACCGTAACATTATTATTATTATTATTATTATTATGATAAATATAATAATAATAAAAAGGGAAAGTTAAGTCTATATTTTAAAAACATTAGACAACAATAACAATAAAAAAAATTAACTAAAATTTTTTTTATATATATACACTTTTGTTTTTCAAACAATTAAACAATTTAGCACACATTTGACACAATAATACAAATAATAATAATAATAATAATAATAATCATATGTCGTGACAATTATTACTAAAACTTATTTGATAGCAAAAATTAATTTATAATATTAATAAAAAAAATGATAATTTCTATTATTTTAGTTCACTATTTTCAATTCATTTGTTCAAATCAGTTGATAATAATAATAATAATGTTTGTCTATATGTTTATCAAAAAAAAAAAAATTTTTTTTGTTAGTTTGTTTTCAAATACATAATTTTATATCAAAAGCGGAAATTTATTAATTTGTTAATTTTGTGTGTGTGTATATAATATTTAATCATATATATATATATATATAATATACTGTATATATATATATATATATAAATTATATATATATAAATGATAATATGATAAAATGATATATATATATTGATTTTTTAATTTTTCAAACTATATAAATATTTTTTTTAAAGTAAATAATTTTAATTTGTTGATTGATGTTAATGCTAATAATTATTATTGCTAATTAATTTAAACTTAATCATCAAAATTTTTATAATGTATTAAAATTTGTTTTTATCATCAATATCATTGTATTAAGGTWTCAAAAATAGATACATAAAATTTTTTATTTTAATTTATTAATCTATTGTATACATATAAAATTATTGTTACTATACATCAAATATKATTCAATAAATATGATTTATAGACATTGATTTTATTGAAATGTTATGGTTTAGTATTATTATTATTTATTAATATTTTAAACTTTATAATCATTTTATACGATATATAAATCAATCAATATTATCTAATATATAAACAAGTTAATACACTAGTTTTAATAATTAGTAATTAAAACTAAAAATAAAATAAAATACATCACAATAATAAAAAAATAATCTAATAATATTKAAACTAAATGATTAATTATATATCTAATGGTTAAATAAAAAAAAATGGGTTTATTTTCTAGTAATGGTAATCAAAAAAAAAAATATATAATAAAATGAATGGCAATAATATATATCACAGATTATTATTAATATTATTATTATTAAGTCAATCATATCAGAGGGTCAATGATTAGCTGAAGATCTCTCTCTCTCTCTCTCTCTCTCTCTCTGATCCAATGATGCCATGATATGTATGTGTGTGTGTGTGTTATGGCTTATGTATGACATGACACATGACTGTCCCTTATCTTATCCTMTCCTCTCTCTCTCTCTCTACTAATGTTTGGCAATACAGACAAACTGGAACTGCTCTTTGGCACAGCTCTGGCACTCGACTTCGCAACAGTATTTGAATTTACAATTACACGACGTAATCACCCGACGGCGTTGTCGTCTAATTTTGTGTCCACAATCCGTACACAATCGGCGACAACTTTTTTTCTCCTCTTTGCTCACATCCCGGGCCCGACGTTTCGAACAGTAGCGGCCAAGTGTACCGTTCGAGCCGAGTGTCTGATTGGCCACACAATAGTCGGGCGATTCTTCCGTAAAGGCCAGCCGAGTCAGATTCAGACGATTATGATTATGATTGCTGTTGTGATTGCTGTTGACTTTGATGGCCAGTTTGTAGGCCCGTTTCAGATAGTCGCCGACGGCTTCAAAACTGTTGATCCGTAGCCAACAGGTTTGCATAGTACAGGAGCCGCTCATACCGTGACATTTGCATGTCTTGATCATTGTTTCTCTGACGGCCTGTCAATCAACATATAGACAGACAGACAGTTAGATTAAATAAGTTTTTTTCAACAAAAAAAAATTAAATTAATTTATTTGATTTGTTGAGTGTGTGTGTGTGTGTATATATATATATATATATATATGTTTAAAAAAATAATAGATAAATGAAATATAAATTTTTTGAAATTAAAAAAAATCAAATTTACATAATAGAGAGTTTTAGAGAGAAGAGAGAGAGGAAATCATATTTTTTTTAAAAAATCATTAAATACAATATACATACATATCGTCCCACTTCATGGTTATGTAGTCTGACTATGGCTTTAAAGTCGTGACCCGTTTCCCTGTCGTCCAAAAATATCTTTGATATACGGGATCCCTCATCGATACTACCTTTGCAACTGTCGTCCACTTTGAAGGTTTTATCGGCCAACTCTTGGCTAATCTGTTGTTGGCGATGATGTCTTCCTCCTCCTCCTCTCTGTTGTTGTGTCAAACATCTACAGCTATCGAGTTGTCCTAAACTACAGTTTCGGGTAACCGTATAGACAATACCGGCGCTGATAATTGCCTGAATAAAGGCTATCTCTCTGTTTGCTAGAAGTTTGAGACACTTTATTGGTTAGATATTTTCGATACCGATATACAGTATATATATAACAAACAAACAAAAAAACGGGTATATCTAATACCTGGTAACTGAGCCGTGGACTGGTCGGTCACAATTTTGAAGGTACTCTCGGGACATGTCCAGCGCTCAAATGAAAATTGTCGCAAACATTCATCTAATTTAATAATATTATTATTATTAAAATAAATAGATATATAAAATTAATATTTTGAATATAAATTATATTTACAATACATTTTATAAAAAAAAATTTAAATTATTATTTTTTTAAAAATAAATAATTACTATTCAACTTACTTAATGCAATTTCAGCTCCCAGTGTAAAGTGTGTGATGTCGGTGCTTGAATGGGCTGCCTATGAATAATAATAATAATAATAATTTTTTATATATAAAAATTATTAATTAAAAGTTTTTTTTTTGATATTTTTGTTGTTGTTAAACAATTTTGTTTTAAATGCTTACTTGACTGCCGACTAATAGTAAATTTCCGATCGACCTATTGATACAATTATTAGTATATTTTAATAAAAAAAAATTAAAAGTCAAAAACAAATTTAGATAATACCCTAAATAAATAAATCACTAAACAAACAACTATATCGATAATACATACCATCCATAGATTTTTCTCAGACACAAACATAATACCAGAAATAATAATAATAATATTTTAAACTTGAAATCCATAATAATTTTGTTTTGTCCAAACAAATTGTAATTCAAATATCAAATAATAGTAATAATAATTTTTAGAAAATCATCGAAAAACTTGTAAATAATATAATATACACTGTATTATATTATTTATTGAATTATTATATACTAAAGGTATAGTATATATGATATGATATTATTTGTCCCATCAATTGTTGTTTTGTTGTTAACAAACTTTATTGAAATGTCAAGTTGTTGTGTGCAAACATTGTGGTCACATACCATCCCATCAAACACAACAACATCATCATCATCATCATGAATGAGTGTCGGTATTGTATTTACTGGTATTTACAGTTCAAACAACACTTTACAGCCCAACAGAGAGAGAGAGAGAGAGAGAGAGAGAGAGAGAGAGAGAGAGAGAGAGAGAGAGAGAGAGAGAGAGAGAGAGAGCTAACAGCCTTAACAATGGCTAAGAAGTGATTGAAAACACTTTTGCCGGCCGTCTCTCTCTCTCTCTCTCTCTTTACGCGCGTATATATCGATAATTGTCAGCTTATATATCAATATATATATATATGACATTACCAGCCAGTCGTTAATAATAATAATAATATCTTAATAATATTGAGCTATTCATCGGATTTTTGTTTGGGAAACATACCTCCCAAAGGGTATTATAGTTAAAACCCAGGGAGTGGTTACACACATTTGCTTCGGGCGTTTGGACACCACAAGTGGACCACAAATATTGTTAATATTAAAAATTTTTCACATATGATGCCTCTCTCTCTCTCTCTCTCTCTCACTTGCTTTCTACCGGTATATCAATTATAATGTATATGTTATTAATTAAAAAAATATATATATATATAAATACAATAATAATAAGGACTATCGGGTGCTGAACCCATAACAGTGTCTCCAAACAAACACATATATAAATAATTTGCAAACATATTATTATAATTATAAGTTAACATTTGCTCTCAATATTATTATTTTTGATGATTGATGAGAGACACACTAATTAATTAAATGCAAATTTCATTTAATTAATTTAATTTGAAAACTGTATGTTTTTGTCATCAACAAAAAAATGTTGTAAATTATTATTATTATAGATATTGGTATTCAATAATTATTTCAACACATTATTATAATACATATCGGTATATATATATATATATATATATATATAAACATATCTATCATACGATACAATATTGTCAGTTAAAAACCTCTATAAGAGTATATAATATGTTGTCATTATTGTTATGTGGGGTCAGAGAGAGAGAGAGAGAGAGAGAGAGAGAGAGAGAGAGAGAGAGAGAAAGATGTGATGGGATGTCCAGTAGTGGCAAAACTCATAAAAGTATAGATAATCTCCCAAAAGATCGCTTTAAATATCTCTATTGAAAGACACACACAGAAAGAGAGARAGAGAGAGAGAGTATTTGAAATATTAAATCCCTTTTTTCGTTAAGACTATTCATTTCATTGATTTTTCCTCATTCAAGAAAACCCTTTAACCGATATTATTATTATTATTGTTATCAAATGTATTGTAATATTTTTAGACAATTGTTTTTCGGCATAAATTGACTATTATTTACAATATATTACAAATAATACCAATGTTTTTGCATATGAAAAATAAGGTTATTTAAAATTCCTCACCATAAAAATAAATATAAAAATATAATTAACAAAAATAGGTGAAAAACATTATTGTTAGACAGAAAAAAACTACAATATATATATAATATAATAAAAATATTTAGTATTTATTCAGCAAAAATATAATTGATATCAATTTAATTCATTTAATGGTGATTTTTTATATATATATATAWAAAAAAAGAAAAATTAATTAATTAATTAATAATAAAATATATATTTAATAATATAATATCTAATAATAATAATAATAATAATAAATTGTATATTTGTCACATAAATATGGATAAATAAAAAAAATTAATTAATTAATTATATTTTAAATTTAATTATTTAACATTTATAAGTTATACAATAACAACCAACAATAATAATAATAAGCTTCAATTTTTTTTATATAATTAAATAACACATTTATATTATCTATCAATAAATGTCTTAAAATATATTGCTTTATGATATTACCGGTGATAATAATAACAATAATAATTTATAATTGAAAAATATATATATATATATATATATATTCACAAAAATATTTAATTTTGTTATCAACACTTATATTACTGTATTATTATTATTGTTATTATATAATATCAATATATCGGATCGGATCAGAGATATATAGCGAGTAAAGTAAAAAATAAATTAATGAAAAAAAATAAAACAATCAATCAATCAAATCAAACAAACAAATAAAATTGATAGACACAAAAAAAATGAATAAATAAAGCAAAAAAATTACAATATTTTTCTATAATAATAATTATCAAAAATAAAAACGACTATACATTTATCAAAAAAAAACAAAATAATTAACAAAAAAATTAAAGTTAATTATAGTAACCGTAGGGACCCTTGTCTTTGGTATCGCCGGTCCGCTCTTTTCGCTGTCGGATCACTTGCGGTGATACTGTTTTCAGATCGTAGGCCCAGCCCAGGTAGGCGCACGTATCGATGAAACAGGTAGTTAGATTGAACTTAGGACCCAGCTCTGAGGTGGCATAGTCCCAGGGAAACGTATGGTGATAATTATGAAAACCTAACGGTGCATGAAAACAGCGGTTAATAATATCCACACAAACAAACATATCAATCCTAAAAAACATACCTTCACCGATAGCACCGATAATTGTTACGGCATTTTCGGCGGGTGAGATGTGCTTGTCGTACGGTCGACGGCCCCAGAAATGGGCGGCACTGTTGACCAGCCATGTCATGTTCAGTGTCCACGTATAGCGTAATAGTGCACAAACAAAGTAGGCATTGAAAAACGATTCGCCCCACAGATAGTTGGGTAAGACTGTTGGCAGTAGAAAACAAAAGACGAAAACGAGTGGTAGATAAAACTTTCGCTGAAACCGGACGAGCGGATCCTGTAGTAGATCTTCGCAGCTGACAGTCTTGCCTTTCTCGAGGACATCGGGATGTTTGCGACACAGTAGCCAACCGCAGTGGGCAAAAAAGAAACCCCGATTGGCGTTGTGCGGATCGGCATCGGTTTCGCTGTACTTGTGATGGACCCGATGGTCGCGACTCCATTCGTAGATTGAGTTCTGTTGAATGAATTGAATGATTTGAAAATAAAAGAGGTGTCGATATGGTATTAGACAAGATATTGATGGTTTTGTGGATACAATTGATATATCCTTATTGAACAGTGAAAAGGGAAAGGGAGGGAGAGAGAGAGAGAAAGAGAGAGAGAGAGGGAGGGGAGAGAGAGACCATAAGATAGCCGCACACACACATACCTGAAATGCCATAGTATTGAATATGGTTAGGACAACCCTTAAGGGAAATTTGGCTTTATATGCCCGGTGCGACCATAGACGGTGTGCGCCAGCAGTAATTCCCAGACCGGATATTATATATAGTAGTATTGCTTCAACAAAAAAAATAAATAAATAAAATTAGCAAAAAAACAACATAACATAACCACACACACAAAACAGGTTAACCCCCACATACCACAAACAATTGTCTGCCACTGAGCTGCTGTAAAACACAGATAGAGGCCGTACAGTCCGGCCAAGTGTAGGCCAGTCATAATGGCAACATTACGCCAGACTATCTGGGCTTTGAACTCGCGTTTCGCTTGTTTGGAGCCATCGACGGTAATATCGGCAGCGATTTCCGGTTCAATTGTCGACGACTGTATATTTGGGGCCATTTCAATGGGTTTGCGATTATCTATTATAATAATAAATTAATACTTAGTTAATACATTTAATTGACTATTTAAAAAAATAATAATTTTACTAAAATTAAAAATATTAAATAAATATTTATATAAGTCTAATAATAAAATTAGCTACGTCAATTTGATTACCACATTTGCTTGAACAAAAAAAAATGCTTATATCATTATATAAACAATTATATACACAATTTATTAATATAAAAAATATTAATTAATTAATTAATTAATAATGATTATGACAAATTGTTATTAATTAAAATAAATAATTAAAAAAATTAATCTGATAATCATTTTAAAAAAATAATTTTAATCAAATAAATATACTTTTAATAATATCTAAACTATAAGTAAACGTTAGAATTGTTTTAAACTATTAATTTAGTTTTAATAAAATTAAAAATTAATATTTCAATTATTATTACTGCAATTACTTAGTATTAATGATTTATTTCTACTGATTCCCATATAAATCAATGGTCTAATAATTGTTGAATAAGACAAATAATTAGTATTATCTAACATATTAGATAACTTGATAAACATTTTTTTAAATAAAAAAAATTAATTAATTAATTAACACACACACACAACTAGTTAACACAAGTAATAAAAAAATTTAGACAAAATTTTTAATTAAATTAAATTTTCCTTTAAAAAAAATAATAATCTACACACACTAATGTGTAAAACAATAATAAAATTTGACAAAAATATGACATTTATTAAACATTTAAACAAAACAAAAAAAAAATGTAACTAAATTGTAAATGTGGTCAATGGTCGGGAAATGGACCGACATTTATATATATATATATCGATAGTTACCGGATTCAAGAGCACCGGTAGTTTTATTTTTGCGGTACTACTACTACTACTACTACCCTAACAATAGTTTTTTTTTTAAATAGTCATTGTTGTTACTGTACGTGACTTAACTAAAAAAACCACTACTATTTCAATAATATTATTTCAACTATTTTTTTAAAACTATTATTTTGATTATCTAACTTTTTTTTTGAAAAAATAAATAAATAATTGATTGATCCTTCAAAAAAAAAAATAGTAGTAGAAAATTACACATATGTTTAAATAAATATATAAATATATATATATATATATATATATATATAGGGTTTAAATAAATTTGATTAATTAAATAGATGAAACAAATTAATATTGTTTTTTTTTTTAAATAAAAAAATCTATTTATATTATTATATACATACATATTAAACATAATATACATGTATTATATAATAATTATTATAGTATTAAAAAAACCTTCAAAGCTAATTAAAATTTGATTAATTAATGTCTAATTTATTTTTAATTATCATAATTAAGTAGAAATTAAATTAAAATACAAAAATAATCATTAAAAACATAAAGACATTGAAAAAAAAACTAAATTTAATTATAAATAAATTTTAATAATTTTGTTAATTATAAAAAAAAACATTTTAAAAATACCAACAAAATTTTATCTAGTTAATTTTATTTTTAATCAAATTTATACTAATAGTATCTAAATAGATAAATAAATACATAAAATTATTTACCCATTAATGTTAGCTAGTAAAAAAATTAATAAGCTAGTATATTAACATATTTAATAAATATATCACCAAGTCACATTTATGCTAAAAAAAAATTTTTACCAAGATAATATTAATAATAATTTGTATGACTTAACTATTTTTTTTATTTTGAAAAAAAATTAATAAAACAACATATGTGTTTTTTATATTATTGCAAAATTAATTTTTTAATTTTTGAAAATAATAATAAATTTTTCTACAACTATAAATAAATTAAAATATATTATTATAATAGTTATTAAATTAATTATTAAATAATTTATAAATATCTAATTAATTTATTTTTTTAAAAAAAATTACACACAATTTTACTAATTAAATAAATAAATAATAATAATTAAATAATATAATTAATTTAATTAATTACCTGAATATTATTAATTAATTAACAATAATGTGGACACAAATTCACAAATAAATTAAATTCAAAAAAAAATTAAATAATAAATTCACTGAAAAAAAAATAAAATTCAAAATAAATAGCGTTTAGAAACAACAACACAAAACACAACACTATTTATCTATTATTTTCAAATAATAAAAATAAAATAGTAATTGAATTATTAATTTTTAAATTTGAAAACACATTTGAAATTCATAGTCAATAATAATATAATAATAAATATAATATTATTTTTAATAATAATAATAATATAACCAAACGTTTAGCTCTTTATATATACTGTAAGGCATTGCATGATATTATTATTAACTGATAATAGAGTGTAGACATAGAAAGGGGTGAAAAATGGGGGAAAAATTAAATAATAATTTTATTAATACACACAAAAAAATTTTGCCACAAAATTATATTCTGATTTCAATTATTTTTTTTGTGTTTATTATTATTATTATTATTCAAAATAACTGATTCATGCATTCGAATCGTATTATATTATATTATATTAAAACATAACATCTCTATCTCTATTACACTCATATAGAATAGAGTACACAACAGTCTATTATAATTATAGTTATAGTTAGAGAATGTCAGCGAATAGAATGCACGACCAGATGACATGTCATATTAATATATAATGATTAATACATATATAACGTTCACATTTTCCAACAAATTGTACATGTCAAAAACTTTTTTTTTAATTTTTTAAATTTTCATGTTTTTATGATTTAAAAAAAACAATTAATTTTAATTAATATTTGTTCCATAATTTGACAATTTATATTCTTTTTTTAAATGTTTAAGCTTGCTGAAATTTTTTAAATATTATTATTATTACTAACTTAAAATTTTAATATATTTTTTTTAAATTTTCTAATCGAACTTATACAGTGTAATAGCCTTTTTCGATTATAAGTGTAACGTTGTTAGTGAATAGTATGTTAAAAGTGGTGTGATTTTTGACTGTATATAACATCAGTAGTTGTATTACTGTATGTATTATACACACTGTACTGTATATTATACTTAAAGTATAGTACTGTAGGAATGGTACGATGCGATAGTGTGAGAGTGAGAGAGAGAGAGAGAGAGAGAGASAGAGAGAGAGAGAGAGAGAGAGAGAGAGAGAGAGAGAGAGAGAGAGAGAGAGAGAGAGAGAGAGAGAGAGAGAGAGAGAGTCATCCAATACATGCATACATACCATACACTGTGCGAATGTATTGCTTAGTTAATAGTACTTAACTTAATAGTAATAGTACTTTAATTATGATAACCAACGGGCATACCAGTGCTTATAATGTATAGTATATATATACAGTAGTATTACATAATATATATACTATATATATACAGGTATTTACATAACTAACAGCAAAAATATTTAATATATATAAATAATTAAAAAACAAAATAAAAGTATATATAAAAATAATTATTTATATGTTTGTACGTAGAAGTTTGTATTTACCAATAAAAATAAAATAAAATAAATGTGTCTAGCAACAAAATTTATGTATATCATTAAATAAACAAATAATAAAAATAATCTATTAATAGTTATGCAATTATTATTATTACTATTATTAAATATTGAACAGGTACCTTTGGTAATAGTTGTTATGTAGATAATAAAAATTGGTGCAATGACAAAAAAATAATAATAATTAAATAAATAAAATAGCATATAATACAATAACAATTAATTAATAAAAATGTTAACCAAGGTCAGATTATTATTATTAGTATTATTATTATAATAAAAATATATGATGATTATATAACTATATAATTGTTTAGTACTTTAATCGTTAATATAAAGTGTAATTTCTAAATGTTATATTGACTTTGTATTGAAAAATATAATAAATGCAGACAATTTTTTTTTAATTATATCTATAAATAGAAAATTATATATTTTTTTAAATAAATAACTAATAATTTTTTAAAAAGTTTTTTAAGTTACGGAAATAAATTAGTGATTCATAAAAAATATTATTTTTTTTGGTGTGATATTCATATGATTTTTATTGAACATTGAACTTATTTGTTATATAATTTCAATTTTTTTTAAAAATAGAAATTTTTATTAGTAATATATCTAAATATTATTTATTTTTTTAAATTTTATTTTATTTAAGTCCATTATTAATTAATTTATTAATAACTTATTTTATAGTATGTTTAGTAGTTATCAATGTAGTTATCTATGGGGTACATCTAAATGGTTAGTCACTGTACTTAATATTGGGTACAAAACTTATAGTACAGTAAAAATTTATATATATATATTATGAGTATAATAATCATATGATTAATTAAAAATTATTATATTAATGATGAATAATAATAATACAGTAATAATTTTATTAATATTATTATACTATTAATAGTATTGTCGCTAATATTTTTTTTGAGAGAGAGAGAGAGAGAGAGAGAGAGAGAGAGAGAGAGAGTCTAATAAAAAAATCATTAATATCAATAATAATAGTAATAATTTTACAAAAATATACTGTTTAAACATCATTATTATCATTAGTATTATTATTATACACTAATAATAATATGTCAACAATTTAATTTGTTTGACAATTTGTTGTAATAAAGTCAATAATATTTTTTTGTTTTGTATTTCTAAGTATTAAAAATTGTTTACCGGTTTACTATATACAGTAGTACTACTTAGTATTACATAATTTATATTGTATAGACTATTTAAATAATATTATAGTGATTATACTATACAGTGTTGTATTCTATTACCTACGTAAATTTATATATATATATTAAATTATTATTTTTTTATAAATATTAGATAATTAATTTTATTATTAAAAACCCAGAATAATTAATAGTAAATCATAATAATTGTATTATAAATATAGTTTTTTTATTGTTTTTTTTTAAAGCTAATTATATCATATACATATAATTTTAATGTTATTTTTTGAAAAATTCCCCATAAATTTATATATATATATATATGGAAACTGTATTATTGCCAATAATTGTAAATTTAATTTATTACACAATATTTACTATTAAAATATTTTATTTTCTTCAAAAAAAAAATATCCAAACAATATCGTAATGTCTAGAAAGAGAGAAAAATGTTTTACAAATTGTAAATTACAATAAACCCAACAAAATAAAAATGTGTTTTTTTAATTGTTTCTTCTAAATTGAATCAAAAAAATATATTATGAAATAAATAAACAAAATTTCCAAATTTTTAGTTAAATTTTTAGTTAAGTATAACTAAATCTATATTACAATAAAAATTATCATATGTTTAATAATCGGTTAACTAATTAATTTGTAATATTAATATTAGGTATTAATTTGAAAATTTCCAGTTAGAAAAATATTTGTCGGAAAAATTCAATATTTACTCATAAATTTAAGATATTTTTTTTAAAAAAAATTAAAATAATAATAATAAAATAATTTACAATAAATAATTTATAAAAATTTATTTTTTTAAAAAGCGGACGACAACAACAAAATGTAATATAGTTTATATATAAAATAGTTAAAACAAATTTTTAAAAAACTGCTAATATTAATATTATTACTAGAGATAATCAAAAAAAATTAAATACAAATATATCTATTAGTTTGATAACAAAATCATATCATCATTAAAGCAAATTAAGCAATATATAGTTGTTAATTAATCAAAAAAACATTTATAATAAATCAAAAAAAAAATCTGGTTATATAGTAGTAGTAGTAGTAGTGTTGGTGCCAAACATCATATCATTTTTAAAAAAATGATTTTAAAATAGATTATCCCGGTCAAATCTCATGATAAATTCAAGCAGGGTAAATGTGCCTATATAATGATAATATTAAATTTATAAAATAAATAAATTAATAATTATTGGCGTTTTTTAAATTTTTATAAAAAATAATAACAAAATCAAATACCTGAGCTGAGTTTAATCGACTTTTTAGTAGCAATTTTTTCAACAAATTTATAACCGGCTGATCCAGGCAATTGTGAACCAATACTAACCGATCCATTACCCCGGGGCCAATGATATTCAATATCTTTTATTGAATAGCCATCTAAATCAATCAATTAATTAATTAATATACATACAATAATTTTTGAATAAATAACTATTCAAAATAATAATATAAATGTTATATAAAATATAAATAAAAACATAATTAATTACACGACTCAATCTCTAATGGACATTCAAGATACCGTTCCTTCAATAGGCATCGGGTAGTGATTTGTAGTCTAAAAATTAATATATAATTATTTGTTTTTTTGTTATTAATATATAATAACATAAATAAATATATATATATATATATATATATATATATAACAAACTTGTGGCTCATGAGGACAGTGCCGTTGGTCGAGACACTGGCAAACAGTGTCGGCGTCGGCATCGAAATAGTGGCCACAGAATTGGCATTCGAGAAGAACGTGTCCGGTGTCCACATGCGGTCGATAAACGACTTTCCGCCGACCACTTTGACCTCCGGGTACGAGTGCTGTAGGCGCTGGTCTGACCATTTTTGACGGAAATACAAGTTTGTAGTGATTTCCTAAAAAAAAAAAAAAAAAAAAAAATCAAAATTAGTATTTAAAAAAAATAAAATATATTAATAATAATATTGAATACCTTATCGATTGGATTGATTTTATAGTTAATTACATGTAGAGTAATGTCGACATCAATTGGAGAGTTTTCTAATTAATTAATTAATTAAATAGTTTTATATATAATTTTTTTTAAAAATTATTTTTTTTAATAATCATAATATTTATACAATAAATAAATAAATAAATGTTTTTTTTAATTACCGCCTAATTTTGGGTTAATATCTTTGTCGTAGACATTGGAGTCGAGTTTGGTTTTAAACTCTTTTGTAGCCCGTATTGAATCACTTGATAATTAAATATTTAAAAAACAAATATTAATTTAAAAAAATAAAATATATTTGTCATAATTTTTTGTTAAATAAAAAAATAATATATACTTTTCCAAAAAATTTGTTTTGAATAGATTTGTTTTGTACAACAAATAACTACTAAAACAAATACAATAATTGAATAATTCATTGTCGATATACAGTAAAAAGTTTTATTAAAGTTTTACAAAAATTTTTGTTAATATTTTAGTCTCAATATTATTATTTAATAACTAGTGTAAAATCTTTTTAGGCTATTTATATATGATGTCAAAATTGATTTTTAAATTTGATTAAATTAAAAATCACAATAATATTTTTAGTGGCAGTTTTTAAAAACCCCATGACATTGATATTAATATAAATTGATCACAAAAAAATTGCAGTAAATATTTATATATATATATTTATTGTGTATTAAATTTGATTAAATTATTATTTTTTTTAATATATAAATTCATAACAATATTATTGATATTTACTGTATTTACACTGAAATTCTGTAAAAATTTATTTAATTTAATTTGATTTAATTCAATTGATATCAATATAATAAATATATAAATAGCTTTCATTGTTAGTACACTTAATGTACTTTTATTTTAATAAAAAAAATGTTATTTACATTTGTCGGCTTAATATTTCATAACTATTTTGAAAGTATATAATTTATTTTTTTTGATAAAAAATATGATTATTTTTATTTAAAAAAAATATGAAATCTCTTTAAACATAATATTTATCAAAAGGATTACATAAAAAAACATATTTTGTTTGAAACAAAAGTATTTATACAAATATGTATTATAATAAACAATAGTTTTTTTTTAATAACAAGAGCTTAAAATATTATACAATTATTTAAGAAAAAAAATTAAATCCATTAAAAATATTTTAATACCCTATTATTTTATTATACATTAAATACATTACATATTATTACAATAAATTCAATGTAATTTATATATAATATATGAAAAAATTGTTTTATGTATACTACATTCAAATTGATAAAAAAAATATTAGTTAATAATATAATTTTAATAAAATTTGTAATTTAATTTAATATTTAAATTTAGTAGTCTTTTAATTTTAGTAATTTAGTAATACGTAAAACACTTTTWTTTAAAAAATTAAATATATAAAATTATAATTTTTATATTTAATTTGTTTAGTAATAATTAAATGTTGTAATAATGAAATTTTTAAAAGTATATGCAGTAGTTATATATATATATATATATATATATATATATCGGATTACACTAATATATTACATTTACATTAAATAACTAAAATTAAATGATGTTTTAAATTTATTATTAGTAATAATATTTATGATAAAAAAACACTTCAATTGTTTGCTAAAAAACTTTTCCTTAAAAAGTTGTATTATTCAAAACATCAAAAATTTGTTTTTAATTTAAATTTTGATTTAAATCAATGGCTTATAATTTTATAGCTATATTAATGTATAGTAATTTTTTTACAAACATTATAATTATTATTAAATATAGATTTTTAATTTTTGTTAAATATTTTAAGTTGRTATATACTTAATACTAAAAAATACTTAAAGTATAAAATAAATTTTGAAATTATATAATAATAGTAATTATTATTACTAATAATATTATGACTATAATTAAAATTTAATATTATATTTCTATTATTTCCCGTCATAAATATATATATATATATATACACTATGATTTATTATAAATATATATATAAGCTAGTAATTTTATACTGGTTAGATTTTTAATTTTAAAGTTTTATTATAAAATTTTATATAACTTTCAATCAATATATATATATATATTGATTATTAAAATTATTTTTATCCCATAGTTTTAATCTTATATTTTTTGTGTGAACAGATTAGTTAAACAATAGTTGAAAACTTATTAAATGTTTTTAATATATATATATATATATATATAAAATTGTGATTTTTTATTTTTTACAGTACATCTACCAGTGCCCTAAACTGTCAACAAAACAACAATTTGCTAAAAATATCCCAAAAATAATTTGATTTTCAGGTTAGTTTATATATTGATATTAGACTATTTTAATTATCTGTATTATTTTTGGTACAGTTACTAAATATATATATATATATATTTGTTTGAATATTTAATAATATATTAATATATATAAATTACAACTAATTATACTAACTATAAGAATATGAATAAATTAAATTTTAATATATATATATAYAGTAAACAATATTTTAATTGTTTAAATGTGAAAATTGAATAAATTATTTAAAAATAATATTAAAATTATTACATTTTACATAATGTTTAATATATTATAAAATTATTATTTATTTATTCATATTAAATGCAATTCATCGTATATTAATTTTTCCAATATTATTACAATTATTATGAAAATTAAAATTACATTAAATATATATATACTGTATATGCTATAAAATTTCAATAAAATTATCAAATAAAATATCGATTAATTATAATAACACACAATTATCATACTGTATGTCTAATATATATAAATATATAATTAGATAAATTATTTGTTTTAGATAAAAGACAAATAAAAATAGATTTTTTTAATGATATTAATAATAATATTTAGAATTTTCGAAAAATATATTTAACTAAAAAAATAGTGTGAATTGAAAATAGATTTTTGTTTTCCAAAAAAAAAATTCATAATAATAAAAGTAAAACACATATAAATTTATATAAAAAAATAATAATATATAATATAATATAATAATTCAATTAAATAGAGACTAAAATTGTGGGATTTTTTTTTAATAATATAATAATAATTATAATTACAACTAATAATAGTAATAATAATAATTAATTAATTAATTATTAGTATTAAAATGCTTTTGAGGCGACTCTTCGTTTTCTTTCGTCAATCATTTTCTGCGATAACGACTTCAAATCGTAGGCCTGGCCTATGAATGCCATACAGTCGATGAAAAATGTCGTCACATTCAGTCGCCAACCGTTTTCGCTGGTCTTGTAATCAAATGGGAACTCGTGGTGATAGTTGTGAAAACCTTTTTTTTAAAAAAAAAAAGATAATTAGTTTTAAGTAAAGATTTTTTTTTTAAATAAAAATAATGGATAAGGTATACATACCCTCACCGAAGGCACCAAATGAAACAAACGGGTTCTCTCGGGGCTCTATTCGAGGATTATATCTATTGTTTTTTTCGGGGGATGGGATGGGAGTGGAGGAAAGGGAGACACATAAAAAAATATTAATTTCTAATTCAATATATAAATAATATGAAACTTACGGTTTGTCGCCAAACATATGAGCGGCAGAGTTGACAAACCAAGTGCTATATAATAATCATACAAAAAGAGAAATTAGTTTATTTGAATTTAATTTATCAAACAAAAAAACAAACAAATATTATTATTAATTTTGATTATCTAGATTAACCCAGGCCTACAAACACACACACACACACACACACACACACACACACACACACATTGATAGCATTGTTTATTTTATGTATATACACGGTGTAGGTGCCCTTAAATGTGTAACAAACTATTAAATACAATATATATAYAKATATATTGTATATGTATGTTAATGTATTATTTGTTGTACGATAAGCATTATGATATACATTTGTAAAATATAATTTACAGTGCCTGGATACTACTACTACTACTACTACTACTACTACTACTATCACTACTACTACTAATATTACTGTACTTGATTTTAAGGTTAGATCCGGCTTATCTATTGCTTAAATCAGTTAAAAGATATTTGTTTTGCAGGTATTATGTTGTTGTTGTTGTAGTAGTTGTCGATGTTATAGTTGTTTAGTATCATTATATTTCAACAACAAAATATAATATCAAACATTTTATCCTTATTTATATACCGGTATATATATATATATATATATATATATATATATATATATATATATATATATTATATATATATATATATATATATATATATATATATATATTGTATATTACTTTTATAAGTTCATTGAAGTGTTTCAACAACAACAACAACAAAATCTATTAAACTTTATGATACAGATGAATGAATTTTACCAATAATTAACAGACACACACACACATACACACACACATACACACACACACGTACACACATACATACACACATACACACACATACACACACATACACACACACACACACACACACACACACACACACACACACACACACAACACACACAACACACACACACACACACACACACACATACACACATACACACATACATACACACCACCATACCATACACATAAATACATACACCCCCCCCCCCCACCTACCAGTGCAATGCTGTACAGTATCTCCAGAGGACGCCGACAATCAGGGCATTGATCCAGTTTTCTGACCAGAAATAGACGGGAATCATTGTGGGCAGTATGAAACAAAATGCCAGATAAAATAACGGGTAATAACTGTGTGGCGGATAATAGTAATAGTAAAACAAACAATATTAAGATTAGCACCGTTAGGTTAGACCAACAAACAAACAAACAGTATTACTTCTTCTGTATTTTGACGACCGGATCCTTCAGTATATCGGAACAGTCGAGTTGTTTGCCTTTGATGATGACGTCCGGATGTTTTCGGGTCAGTAGCCAACCGACGTGGGCAAAGAAAAAGCCGCGCCGGGAGTTGTGCGGATCGGCATCCGTTTCGCTGTACTTGTGATGGACCCGATGGTCGCGACACCATTCGTACAGATTGTTCTGTTGTGTTGTGTTGATGGGACAGTGGGGTCGATGGGATAGTTAGGTTGATGGGAGAGGGACAGGGAGAGAGAGAGAGAGAGAGAGTATTAGTTGAAATAAAAACAAATAACTTTACAATTAATTCACATACCTGTCCGGCGATTGAATGAAATACCATTAGTAGTATACGAAGCGGTAGTCGGGCTTTGTATGACCGATGAGACCATAGCCTATGGGCACCGGCAGTCACTCCGAGACCTTTAAAAAAATAATTGCAAGTTTTAAAAATTAGTTATTCAACAAAAAAATTAGTATCATTTTTTGTCTGCAATTATATAATGATCAACAAAAAAACAAAAAACATTACCTCCGGCTAATCCCCACCAATAACCTGTTAAATAATAATAATAATAATAATTAATAGATAATTGTTAAATATTATTTAAATAAATGTTAACATTATTATACAAAATAATAATAACAACAAAAAAAACTAAAATTATTATAATAAACTATTGATAATAATTTTTGGCTTAACTTTCGATTATATAATTATTATTTAAATTATTAATACTATTTAAAAACTTTTACTAAAAACTATTTAATTATTATTATAATACTGTAATAATAATAATATTGTTTTTAAAAAAACTTTTCAATTGAAATTATTTTGACAAAAAAAATCATTTCATTGAGAGAGAGAGAGGGCACCCATCCACCCCCCCCCCCCACTGTAGTATCGAGGGTATATAATATCTAACATTTATTTAAAAAAAAAAAACATATTATTACAATGTTGTTGACTAAAGTAATAAAAATATATATATATATATATATTTGTGTCATAAATATATGTAATATAACGGGTATTTGATATATTATGATATATACACTGTATATAAATATACAGATTATTTTTGATTGCTTTCTAAAAGTGTAATATATGTGTGGAAAATACAGTAAAATTTTTTTAAAAATATCATTATTAAATATTATTATTAGTAATAGTAATAAATAGTATTATATTATTTAGTAGTATTATTGCGAGAGAAAACAAAAATATTTAATTACTAAACTACTAAAACTGAAAACTACTAAAATAAATATAAAAAAAATATAATGAGTTGTGATAAAAAAAAAGTTACTGATAATTAACAAAATAATAATAACTAATAATAATATTTTTTCTGATAAATTATTAGTTGATTTTTTTTAAAAATAAATAAAAACTTATCTATTGATTCACACTTTCAAAGTCAATCAACAACAACAAAATAGTTGATAATTATGATTATCAGGGATACAGTAGTAATACAGTTAGAAAAAATAGGATATATATAAAAAACATACCGAATATCCAGGTATACCAACACCTGTTGGCCAGACATACATAATAGCTGAACATATAGACCATATGTAAGGCAAAAAATAATAGGACATTCCTCCAGACAATAGTCGATCCTTTGGTAAAATAAATATATCGGACATTGGATTTGCCTATCGATCTGATTATGAATGAGCCGTTGTTGCCGATGGTTGTAGTGGTGGTGGTGTCTACTAAGCTTTCACTACATTTCACTACATCCCTGTCCTCGTGAATGTTTGTACTACTAGTAGTTGTTGTTGAGTTGGTTATCATCACAACACTGTTGTTGTTGATCTCAGTGCCGGCGGCGGCATTGGCGGCTGCGGCGGTCTCTTTGAGATCATTGTGACTACTATTGTGGCCATCATCGGTGTTGTCGTCAAAATTGGCCGTCAATTGCGGTGCCAGCGGTGGCATATTTTTTTWTTAATTAGTTGACAAAAAACACACAAATTTTGGGTGCACTTTATAAAACTAATAATAATAATTTTTTTGGATGAAAAACACAGTTGAAATTTTTTTTTGGTTAAAATGTGATATACATTTATATTTTTAAAAAACACATTGACTGTTAAATAATATATATATATTTATTTATATAAATATTAAATATATTTATACAATATCTCAATGTGACAAAGTATTGTTAAGATTTTTTTTTATATATATATAAACATATAAATAAAATAAAATATAAGCAAATAAATAGTTAGCACGAGAGGACTGGTATTATTATTATTATTATTATAACAATTAAATATTAAGTATATATTGTTAATAACAATTATGGTTATACTAGTAAATATAGTAGTAATAATAATAATGTTGATTTGCGGCAATATTTTTTTAAAAATAAATATATATATAAATTATATATTATTAGTAGTAGTGATAGTAAAATAGTAGTTGTTATTAGAGTTCATTAGCCATTAAACAAATATATATATATTTAAAAACAAAACTTTTATCAATAATGAAAAACTTTGTTAACACATATAATAATAATAATAATAAAATATTTAATATATTTTTAAACTAACAAAAACTGTGACTTTAAATGATTTGCAGAATTATACAGTCATATAGTTTTGTGATAAAAACTTTTTATTTAATAAAAAAAAAAGTTTTGTTTTGTTTGTTGTTAAACTGTGTTATACAGTGTATTAAATGTAAAGAGAAAGAGAGAGAGACACTGAATCTGATTTTTGTGTGTGATATCAGACATACCCGACCTATGAAATGCCAATTTAGGACAGATATTGAACCAAACGTCTCGCTCTCTCTCTCTCTCTCTCTCTCTCTCTCTCTCTCTCTCTCTCTCTCTCTCTCTCTATTTACAGTTAGTAAATAGTACTGTATATATACAGTATATATATATACAGAATATTTCACTTTATTAAAAATAATACTAATATTAAATAAAAATCTTTTAGGCCTAATGTTTGTCCTACAAAATCATAAATAGGATACCCATTGCAGATCTGTATATAAAAATCCCCCCAAATACTTATGTTGCATACAATAACTTAAATATAAATTTAATATAAGTATAGTATTACCAGCTATTTGTTTGAAGACTATTGTCTCTCTCTCTCTCTCTCTCTCTCTCTCTCTCTCTCTCTCTCTCTCTTAATTTGGATTTAATATATATTAAATATATTTTTTTAAGGATATACTCTCAAAACAACAACAAAATTCAGGTTTCAATTGACAGCACCTTTTCTTCAACAATAATATTTATTATATAAAAAAAAATCACTCAATTGAATGAATGAATTGATTTGCATTTATAAAAAATTATTAAAATGCATGTATAGTATGTATGGTTTAATTCCTCTATTTATTATTATTATTATTGTATATTATGATAATATGATATAATAACACAATAGTAACTATAAAATGTATAACAAAATCATATATGATATATAAAATGTATATTTCAAGCCAAGTAATGCTCTCTTTTTTTTAACTACTGTAATACTAATTGATAAATAATAATTTTCTTAACTATTAATATTTTTTTTATTAATATTAAGTTAGTTAATGTCAGTAAACTTATAAACATAGTTAATGAGAGAGAGAGAGAGAGAGAGAGAGAGAGAGAGAGAGAGTAAGTAAAAATGTATTGAACAGTGAAACCCCAATCACCACAAAATAAAAACTCTTATATAAATTATAAGGAAATTTAATTTATAAAATCATTTGTCACGTATGCAATCATATTTATATATATATATAATAAAAAAACATACATTAGTTTATATACTACAGTAAATTTAAGTAATTGTTAGGTACTCTCTCTCTCTCTCTCTCTCTCTCTCTCTCTCTCTCTCTCTCTCTCTCTCTCTCTTTCTCTCAATTAGGTAGCAATACGTTAACCCTCATAGCGTATGTCAAACCTCTTTATTTTTAATATATTAGGAGGACTTTCCTTATGATATTTACTGTATATATTTAATAACTGTACTAAAACTTATTATATATACTGTATATAATGACAATCAGTGAACCGATTTCATATATGATAATATGACATAATTGTTTTGTTTATTTAATTTTTGTTGAATAAAAACTATTACAAAAACATATTGATATATATATATATATTTAATATTTATTTATATACCTATACATAATTATATGCAAATCTTAATTAGTGGTAAAATAATAGTCAATTATAGAATAGTTATTATTAGAAATATTAGTTAATTTTATAGTTAAATTACATTATATATACAAAAAAAATAAAATATGTGTACAGTATATATATATAATAAGACAACAATTAATTTATTGTTTATTTAGTGGTTTTTTTTGTTGACAACTATTTAATAAAATCATTGACAAAAAAAATATTCACTAAATTTTTTAATTATTGCTAATTACTCATAAGTATTTTAAATTAGTATATATATATAACATATTAATATAAATTATAATTTTTGAAAATTATTATTGTAATTAATTAGAAATTTATTTAATAAGTACAGTATATTTTATTAATCAAAAAAAATATTTCAAATAAAATTTTAAAGTTTAATATAAATATTAATTTATAAGTCTAATTAATTGAAAAAAAAAATTTACAAATTTAATACTAGATAACTAATTATGTATTGTATATATATGAACTAATTAATAATAAATTTATAAAAATAAATAATATATTCTATATATTATATTATAATATATAATATATTTATAAGTATAAAATAAATTATACAAACCTTTTTTAAAAATTGATTTAAGTTTTAAGCTTATAAATAATATTTTCAATAAATATTTGAGACATCATTTAATAACAATAATTATTTAGCAATTAATTTTATTTAACAATTTAAAAAAAATCAATTATCACTGAAGCATATGAATGTATAAACATTTTTTACAATTAATGAAAAATTTTTTTTGAGAAAGTTTTAACATTTACTAAAAATTGTTGGATGTTTTCAACTTTTCAGCTTAAGATTAATTTATATAAAATAATATTATTATAAATTATTATAATATTAATAAAACATATGTCAAGTAATATGAGAAACTTTGCTCTTAATTTTGTTATACACAAAAAAAATAATATATATTAAATAAATAAATAAATAAATAAAATATTTTTAAAGGAAAAATTTTTAAACAAATTTTCTTTTTTAAATAATTAGTTTATTTGGATTTTATAACTTACAATTAATTTAGTAGTATATGGAGCCTATAATATACATGTGTTTTTTTATAATATGATATATATATATGATATATATTATATTATATAATACAGTAATAATAATAATAATCAACATGTATTTTGCGGTTATGATTTCGCAATAATTTATTATATTGCTATACACTTGTATTAACTTAAATATTTTTTTAAAAGGAAATTTTCAGATGATTATTGTTAGATAAAAAATATTTCAATAATAATAATAATAATAATAATAATAAAGTGCCATTTGTTGTAATGCTTTTACTAAAATATATATAACTTGAAATATTTTTTATTACTTGAAATGATTTCAATAGTATGCAATAAAATGCAAATTAATTAACTTTTTTTGTTTAGTTTTGTTTTAACAAATTAAAACAAATCAACAAAAATTAAATAATATATTATTTTATTGTGTATTATATATGAAATAATATACTCTGGTGTAATATAGTATATAAAATTATAAAAAATAAATATTTTAATATACAAATTTTTATACTACAATATACAGTATATATTTTGAAATATTTAATAAATAATTAATATTAAAAAAATCACAAACAAATAAATATTTAACTAAACTTAAGTAAATTATAATATTTTTTTAGCAATGAATTAATTTATGAATAATACTAAAAAAAATATAATACAATATATGTCATGAATATAAAAGTTATATAATAATTATGATTTGATTATAAAAACACACTTCAAATATACATAAAAAATTATTTATAGATTCAATAAAATTGAAGTATGAAATTAAATTTAAATTTTTGTATTTATTAATAATAACAAATATTTAAAATATTTTTATCATATTTTTGTTGTTGTTGTTAACAAACTATAATAATATAGTTAAAAAATTATATATATATATATATATAATTGTGTCATCAATGGATTTATTCATAAAATATATATATATATAATATTTATTGTAAAAGATGATACAAAAGTTGATGAAATTTTAGATAACAACTACAACAACAAAATATAATTAAAAATAGACCGAAAAAAATACTAATAGATTATTGCCTCTCTCTCTTTCTCTCTCTCTCTCTCTCTCTGTATTAAATACCTTAAAATAAATATCAGTGGTTTGTGTTATATATATATATATATTTTTGTCTATTTTTATACACACAGAAATTTGACATTTGATATGTCATTCAATAATTTAGTTTTTTATAAAAATAAAGTCATTAACACACAAAAAACATTGACTTATATATATGTGTAAATAATAATAATAATAATAATAATAAAAGTTTAAATGTAGTTTTTTCTTTGTTAAATAAATACAACAACAAAATTATGGTCAAAGGTAATGATAATGACAATAATAATAATAATAATAATAATAATAATTGTCTTCCGGGTTATACCTGTATATATATAAGGTATGTACAGTATATTACAATGAGATCAAACAAAATAAATACCTAAAATAAATATAACAAAAACTGTTAATAATATTGTTATAAACTTAAGATTTTTGTATATATATATTTGGATAAAATTCTATGGGGTTTAACAAAAACATTTACAATTGAATATATTAAGCCTTAAAGTACTACTATATAAACAACACTACTATTTGCTGTTATATTATAGCAAACCACTAAATATAATATATAAAGTTGTTTCTAATACTACTATACAGTATATATATATATTTAATATATTGATATATCTATCCGATTGAATACTGTAGTTAAACGGATGTCAATCAAACCACCACTAGTTGACAAACAACTAATATACAGTATATATACAGTAATACCACTGTTTTGTGTGGACACACATAACTTGTTTGGCATTTTTTTATAAAGACTAACTGACTGACATTCAAACAGTTTTGTTTTAAATCACTAACAAATCAATTGTAAATTACAAATAAAATTTTCATCAACTTATCTCTCTCTCTCTCTCTCTCTCTCTCTCTCTCTCTCTCTCTCTCTCTCTCTCTCTCTCTTTCATTCACTCTGTTGTATAAAAACTAAGTTATAGTGATTGTGTGTGTGTGTGTGTTGAGTGAGTGAGTGAGTGAGTGAGTGAGTGAGTGAGTGAGTGAGTGAGAGAGAGAGAGAGAGAGAGAGAGAGAGAGAGAGAGAGAGTATTACAAAAAATTAAAGATTATTTTCTTTGAAACAAAACTATTTACTTTATATTGAAATTTTTAAAAAGAAAAATAAAATCTCCATTTATTTCAAAAACTAATTGATTTCAAGTTTACTTAAACAAAATTCATATATTTATACACAAAATTTTTAGTATTATTATTATTATTACTGTATTATTATTAATAATATTTGATATGAAACAAATGTTATTTTGCAAAAAAAAAATCAAATATATTTTATGCACTTTTTATTAAACAAATTTGACACACTTTTTGTGCAAATAAAAAAAATAAAATACTTTATCAACGATACTGTTATTATTAGTATTTTTTAAAGAAAATAATAATAAAACAATTGTTTTTTGAGAAAATAAATTATTTTAAATATATTTTTGAAGTGTTTGTTTTTGTTAAATACATGCACTTTATATAATAATATTTTTTTTTATAACTTTCCACATAAACGGTAAATATTTTTGTGTTTTTTTTAAATTTCATATATAATAATAATAATTTTTTAAACATTATATTTAGCAATAATTTTTCATGTTTTAAATAATTGTTAATAATAATAATAATAATAATATTTAATTGATAATTAGTTATTGAAAAATTTATTAACAGTATAATTATTTTATGATCTAATTTGCTAACAATTTTTTAAATTTATTTATTTATAGTATTATTGTTTTATTAGTATTTTAATTATATATATATTATATTATTAATAATTTATATGTTTTTTTTCTATTTTAAACTAAATATCCATATAATTTAATTATCCAAATAGTTGAGTCATAAAAATTATTTCATATATCAATTATAAATGTAATGATTATTATTATTATTATATGATAGAAATAAATTATTTAATATATTATCTTTAAATTGCATTTAAAAAAAATATTTGACGGAATATTCCCAATCCCTCCTCGTTTATGAAAGATATTTAGATATATATCTGTATATTATATATATTAATAGATAGGTTTAAATAGATATCATGTGAATCCCAGTTCTGAGCTTCTCATATAAAAAAAACATTGAACACTACCATCACATTCAATGCCATAAAAGACACACACATATTAGGCATTTCACACACACACACACATACATACATACACATATATACACGCACATACATGCACACATACACACACACATACATGCACACATACATATATATACATATACATACATACACATATACACACACACATACATACACACACATACATGCACTCATACATACACACACACACACACATACATACACACACATACACACACATACATACACACACACACACATACATACACACACACATACATACATACATACACACACACATACATACACACTAAACGAGTTCAATATATCAGTATCTCAATAGGCAGGTGCAGAAGTGGATGCAGTTTTTATATACAGTATATTATATTAATAATAATAATAATAATAATATCTTATATTTTTAAAAACTAAAATCAAACTAAATGTTTAAATGAAAAATCACTTGAAGGACACTAATCCCAGGCATAAACACTCACACACATAGAGTTTAAGGAATTTTACTGATTATTATTATTATTATTATTTGTTAGTTAATAAAAAAAAGTTTTATTTCATTCATCCAGTCATTCAATTCATTATTATTATACACTTGTAGGACATTATCATCAAAACATTTGGCACTTGTGTTTGTGTGTATGTGTTTGAACAGTCACTTATATAGTACATACACACACATATCAGCTAACCAACCACTGAACATATCATAAAACATATATACCGTTGAGGAATATTCCAAGCCATCGGTTCCCTTCCACCCCTCCCTTTCTAACTCCCCCCTCCCCTCTACCCATTGCCATCACATCATCTGATCATCACATTTGGTCTGACATATCAATCAGTTAATAATAAGTCATTGAATAGATACACAACAACTACAACATCAACAACAATCAGTCGACAGATCAAACAGTTGTCTTTTTTTTTGTAGTGGTTTACAAACTATGATATAACTCTCTCTCACAGAGACTACAGTTCCCCATAAGAAAAGACAACAACAAAAATAATAGCAAAAAAAAGAGCAAAAGTTTTTAAAAATTATTTATTTATTTGTTTTATTTTATTTAGTTTTTTTTGGTTTTAAAAACTTTCAGTTGTCGTGTTGTTATAATATTATTTAAACCCATTATTATTATTATTAAAGATATGAGAGCTGTTTTATCATTATTGGATTTATCATTATTGATATCAATATTATTATCCATATTAATCATCTCATTGTGTTTACCACAACAACAACAACAACATCACCGACAATCACAACAACAATCACCACAACTGGTTTATACTCGCAATACTAACTGTGGTTATGATGTAAGTTATGGATGAATTAATTGATTAATTAATTGATTTGTTTTTTTTATTTCTCTAAATCTATTGTTTTTTGTTATTGATTTAATTTTTTATTTAATTAAAATGCAACCAAACATCACACACACATACATACAAAAAGTCGTGTCCAAAAACAATTGACAATTATCTTAATATACATATCGTATGTCATACCCATCTGGACACCGGCTGGACTGAGACCTATGATGACTATTACTATAGATGTGAGTATAGATTATAATATATATATAATAATAATAAGTTTATTTATAATATATATATATATATATATATATATATATATATATATATATTTATTTGTAAAAAAAATTATAAGTATTTTTTTTATTGAGGATTTATTTGCATAAGTGACGGAAATTTCTATTCAATTATAAGTGATATACAGTATATAAATATAACATAATTTTTTTTTGAAACACACAAAAAAAATTATGTATAAAATAATGCAAATATATCCATCAATTTCAATAAAAATAGATAAATTAGGTCTTAATATTTAATATAATATAAATATTTAAAAATTTATAAACTAATTTTTTAAATTTTTTTTTAATCTTTATCTTGAAATATTAAAAAAAAAATGATTTAGAAATAAACCAGAAATAAAATGTATATTTTTTTTTGTTATTTTTTAAAAATAATTATTAGAAAACAAATACCCAAAGACCTAAATATTTAGACCAAATTTTTTTTAAAAATATTTTTATGGATTATTTAAACAATTTTTATCAAAAATGATGATAATAACGATATTGATATTATATATATATTGAATATATATTAATAAATTATATACAGTATATAATAGATATATTATTATTTAATTTTGTTGTTGTTGTTGTTGTATAAATACAGATAAATTTTCTGAATATATATATTTTTTTATTCAATCAATTTGATTGTCATATATGTCAACAAAATATTTATTTTTAAACTGTATGTATAATATACAGTATATACTGTTTTATCAATTAAGGAAAAGATGTTTATTATATAAATTATTAAATAATTTATATTTTTAAATACTGTGTGTATCTCTAAAAATATAAAATATAATTAAATAATTATAAAAAAAATTCTCTCTCTCTCTCTCTTGAAAAAAAATCATATGAAATTTTTTTTATTCATAATAATTATACATTTTTTTTTATTATTTAATTATTATTAATAATAATTTTAATAGTTTTTATATACTTAATTTAGTATTGCCATTCATATTAGGAAATAATTGCACGTAAAAATATATAATAATAATAATAATTAAATACAAAACTTTGTAGCATTGAATTGAAACAAAAATTTTATTTATTTATTTTTACTAAATTTAATGCTAATAATAATTGTTTGCTTATTTTTTGCATTAAATATTTTGAACATTAGTTTAAGTAAAATACTTAGTAATAATAATAATAATAATTCAATATATAATAAAAGTGAGAGATATTATAAAGAAAATCATTTTACTGGTAATTATCTACTAATTAAATGCATAAAAAATATTTTTTATTATAATGTCATATACTGAGCATATACTGTATGTATACTATAAAAGATTATAATCACTGATTAGGTTATATCATATAATATATATTAATATATATTGAATAATAATGTTAATTAAATAACAAATAATGTTTATTAAATAAAAATTAGGTTGACTTCCTAGTGGGCATTATTAAAAAATTAGTAGACATTTTACAAAAATTTTTTTGATTTTATTTTTCAATATATTTAAATTTTATTATACAAGTATATTAATGCCTGAAAAATAAAATAAAATAATAATAAATATATTAGTGTCACGCAATTTACATTTGATTTTTAAATAATATAAAACAATATGTAATAAAAAAAATGTATAATTAAATTATTGAATAGAAATTACTATCAAAAAAAAAAATAAATAAATTATCTAAACTTTAGTTTCATTAACCAATTATTATTATTATTATTGAAAAATACTATAAAAAATTTATATATACGATAAACAATCGATGACTTTATTATTATCACTAAAACAAATCAACTATTATTTTTAGCATTTAAAAAAAACTCAAAATTCAATATTACAATAATAACTATAATAATAAACAATTATTTTTAATAGCATTATGACAACAACAAAAAAAACTATTATATAAATATTTTCAAAAAAAAATAACCCAAACTTTTTTTGTATGTTTGTTTACTCCCCTCCCGCCCGCACAACACACACACACACACCTACCCAMCCCTTCAACAACAAAATAAATACTAGACGTCCGGATGATCTACAATTCAGTGGTACAGTCGCTGTTTGAAGTGCCGACCCGTAAGTTCATAGTAGTGGAGACATCGTTTTTTTCCCGTTGGCTTAACGAACAAAACCATACCATCTATAATCGGGTCCAATGGCTGGTCAGGAGAGGTATATATATATATATAACTGATTCCCCGGAAATATATATACATATATATAACCGTTTCTTTTTCCGGGGGGCGGGAACACCCGTTTCAGGTCAACTAGAGTTCATCAGCGGCGGCTGGAGTATGAACGACGAAGCGGCCGCCCACTACTCGGCCATCATCGACCAGATGACATACGGTCATCGTTGGCTGAATCAGACGTTTGGCGAGTGCGCCATACCMCGTATTGGCTGGCAAATCGATCCGTTTGGCCACTCCCGCGAACAGGCATCCCTATCGGCACAGATGGGCTTCGACGGTCTATTCCTCGGTCGTATAGACTATCAGGACAAACTGTTTAGGGAACGACAACAAACACTGGAGTTTGTCTGGAAGGCCAGTCCCAGTCTCGGCCAATGGGCCGACATATTTACCGGTGTTCTGCCCAATGTTTATTGGCCGCCAAAAAATTTCTGTTTCGATGTCAACTGTTTCGACGATCCCATAACCGGCGACAATGCCGAACGTAAGGCCCGCGAATTTATACGTATAGCCCGCGAACAGGCCCGACATTACGGTACGGATCATACGGTGATTACTATGGGTATGGATTTCTATTACCGAAACGCTGATGTTTGGTATAAAAACTTGGACCGACTGATGACGGCCATCAATGGTCTGCAGTCCCGGGAAAAGGTTAATATTATCTATTCGACGCCATCGTGTTATCTGAAATCGTTGAACTCGGCCAACAGGACCTGGCCTATCAAATTGGACGACTTTTTCCCGTATGCCGATGCCTGGAACGCCTACTGGACCGGTCAGTTGACTTTTGAAACAAAAAAAATTATGCCAATTTATAAATTTATCTATAAGTTATCTATATATTGATGATATTAATCAACATAACTATCAAATAAGTTTAATTAATAGTTATAACTACTACTTATGATTATATCATTTATCATATCATACATATGTGTGTGGCTTATCGTTATCACTAGTAATAGATTTTAGTATTTTCCACACACACACACACATTTAACCTCCTAATTTAGGTCAGGGATTACAAACACTCACACACACACACACACACACATAATCTACCCGTCCTTTAGTTGGATGGGTTGTATCGCTCACACACACGATAACTCACATGAGTTTTATGGTTTTAATCTTTTTTTTGTTGTTGAAAAATAATAAACAAATACCAAAAAAATAGTCTAACATTTTTATAGTAAATTCTACACGTTTTTATTGTGTGTGTGTGTGTGTGTGTGTGTGTGTGTGTGTGTGTGTGTGTGTGTGTGTGTGTGTGTGTGTGTGTGTGTGTGTGTGTGTGTGTGTGTGTGTGTGATTTTTAAAAAAATTATTTTACTTATAGATTATACATTATATAATGAAATTTGTGTGAGAAATAGCAATTTCTCTCTCTCTCTCTCTCTCTCTCTCTCTCTCTATAATCTCTCTCTCTCTCTCTCTCTCTCTCTCTCTCTCTCTCTCTCTCTCTCTCTCTCTCTCTCAGTCATTGAAATATAATTTCAATTTTCCAATAAAGCAAAAATAAAAATCTAATTATAAAATGATTACTCATATAATGTGTTATAAAATAACATTGTGTATATAATACACAAAATATATGATTTATTTTACTATTAATGCTAAACAAACAACAAAAAAAACCTAAATAACTACTAAACTTACTATTTATGATATTTAGTTAGTTAGTTATCAGCAAATAATTTTCCAGATTTTTCCACATATTTATGAAATAAACTATTTTTTTTAGTTTTAAAAAAATATTTGACAAAAAATTATATGATATCTTTAAAAAAAATGTGTGGTCCTAATCTCTACTTTAGTATTAACTTTTTAAACTAAAAAAAATAAATTTTTAAAGCATTTATGACAAATATTATGGTATTTTTTATTGTATTATAGATACTGTATCAATAAAATGTCTAAATAGTTAATACCCAAATTTTTTTCTAAAAAATTATTTATTACTATAATTTGCAATAAAAAAAATGTGCTTTTATAGAGACACATATAATAATATAATAGGTAATTGAGATATTTAATCAAAAAAAAATAAATAAAATAAATCTACAAAAAATAAACATTAAAATAATAAATATCTAACTTTTTTTGTTGCAAAATACTAAAAAAACATATTTGACTTTTTTTCATTAAAAAAAATAAATTATCAAAACTATTTCAAATATATCGAAATACAGTATAACTAACTAAAAATAAAATATTTATATAATAATAATCATATAATTAATTATTTATTTATTTAAAGGTTACTTTACTAGTCGTCCATCACTGAAATATCTGATCAAAAACGGCAATAATCTGATACAAAGTGGCAAACAGTTGTCGGTTATGTCGCGTATGTCACGGGTATTGTCACCAAAGTTGCAACCATTGCAAGAGTCGATGGGTATACTTCAACATCACGATGCCGTTACCGGCACCTGCAAACAGTTTGTCAACGACGACTATGTCCGTATGATGTCACGGTCGATGGCCGCGGCCGAGGAAGCGGTAATTGATTCGTATTATTATATACTTCAGTCGTCGCCGTCGWCGACCGAAGATCTGGTTTATCAGACATCATCGCCRGACTATTCGCGTCCAGTGTTTTGCAATCAACTGAATGTTAGCGAATGTCACATAACTGAGCGAATAGAGGACGGTTGGGATACGGCAGTCATCATCTATAATCCGTTAGCCCATCCCGTCCAGCATTATGTTAGGCTACCGGTTCGGGACTTAAGATTTCGGGTTAGGGATGCATCGGGAGGTCTCGTACAGACACAGGTCAGTGTCTCCAATAATAACAATATRTATATAATATTTAATTTTATTGAAAATGTAATTTTTTWTTACCAACAGATTGTACCCATCAATCCCAAGATATTATCGCTACCCGACCGCAACTCGATGGCCGTCTCGGAACTGGTATTCCAGGCCGTACTGCCGCCGCTCGGCTTCTCCAGCTTTATTGTCGACAAAATAGGCAACGGTTTGTTTTTATATAAAAATAAATAAAATAATATATATATATATATCTAAAAAAAGCTATTTTTTAAATTATTTTTTTTYMAAAAAAAAATTACAGATTTTCAAAGTTTAATCGCCAGTCAAGAAAGCGATACAATAGATGGCACTTCATCTTCGTCTTCATCATCATCAGCACCGGCTGGTGATGTCATTGTCGATAACGGAAAGATTAGCGTCCGGATCGATGGCCGAACTGGTCTGCTGAAAGAGATTGGCCTAAAAAATGGCCAAAAAGTACCGCTCCGACAAAATTTTCTGTACTATCAGGGAGAGGATCGGTTTAAGGGCGAAAAACCTTCCGGTGCCTATGCTTTCAATCCCAGTCATCATATACCGGCATCGGTATCAAACGGTGCTACCTATAAGATAGTTAGGGGTCGATTGGTCGATGAAATACATCAGAAATTTCTACCCTGGCTATCCCAGGTGATCCGATTGTATCGCGACTATGACTATATTGAATTTGATTGGATAGTCGGACCGATACCTGTACGSACCGGTTACTATGATCAAGGATTGGAAATTGTCAGTAAATATGATACCGATTTYCGGACAAACGGTACATTTTTTACCGATTCTAATTCAAGAGAAACTATTCGCCGAATACGTAACTATAGGCCGACCTGGGATCTGGAAACTACCGAACAAGTGGCCAGCAATTACTATCCGGTTGGGAGTTGGATATTTGTYAGGGACTATGCCCAGGACTTGCAGATGACTGTACTGACCGATAGAGCTCAGGGCGGCTCCAGTATGTCGGATGGATCTATTGAACTGATGCTTCATCGGCGGCTATTGTATGATGACGGCTACGGTATGGATGAGCCGCTCAATGAACCAGGTTAATTTACTATATATATATATACACACACATACATACAGTTCCCCATTAAATATTATTAAATAAATGTCTATTAATTTATGTCTAAACTAATAACTAAAAGGTATCGACAATAAGGGACTAATAGTTCGGGGAAAACATCGACTGATCATCAATGGTATCCAACARAGTGTACGTCAGATGCGGACAATGAGCAAGACGTTGACCTGGCGGCCGATACCGATGTTTCGGCGATCGCCAACCAACGTTGGTGGTGGTGGTGGCGGYGGACGGACAGCCCGATCGCGTGGCACCCGATCACAGTTGTCGCGCACCGATCAGTACAGCAATTTTGTCGGCATCAACAACCTGTTGCCCAAGAATATCCATTTGYTGACATTGGAGGCCTGGGATGCCGRCACCGACGATAATGTTGTACTATTGAGACTCGAAAACTTCTACGAAATCAACGAAGATCCGGACTATTCGACACCGACGGACGTATCGCTCAGGAATCTGTTTACAACTTTCCGTATAATTCGGGTCCAGGAGATGACACTGTCGGCCAATCAGCACCTGTCGTCGGCCAAACGCAGTCGTATGAAGTGGCGGCCAGATTTTGATCCCTATGCCGACTATAAGTCAGCCTACGATCGGGTAGACAATTCGGGTTAGTTATCATACTACCTACCAGTCCGGGGGTGGGGACAGTTATCTTATGGCTATATATTAATGTTTATTGTTTTTTTTGTTGTTGACATTCAGTCTATGAAAACCTGACAAATAGTGACGATCTGAACCAGACGTTTATCATAACATTGAAACCGATGCAAATCAGGACATTCCTGTTGCGGGTCGAGTCCCGGCGTAACTGTCCGTATACTGGGTTTAATGTACCGCAACGACAACGGCGTCGGTTCAGTGCCAACGGTTTGGACTGTTGATGATGATGACACCCGCTGAGTGGTTTGGATAATATTAATATCTGTATAAAATTAACCGT